AACAAACGAGGGGCTGTGACAAATTGTTTTGTCGGAGTTTCATATATATATATTATACAGCGCGTCTCGACGTGCGAACTTTGGGCATAGGAGAAGAAGACGATGAAGAGAAAGAGAACGAGAGAAGAGGGGAGAGGTAGACGAGGGTGATCAAAGGAAGTGATCGATGCCGGGATTAAGAGGGGGCGAAATAGGTGGAAGGAAAGCGGCCATTGCCGCGGGAGTCGTCGGCGCTGGTGCTGGACGAACGAGGGATAGAGAAAGGCCCCCGGCACATGAGATAGGACACGTGGCGCCAAATCCGCCACCGCTCGCACCACCCGTTTGCGCACCGATCGTGGTCTGGGACCCGTCATCATCAGATGAGTCTCGGTGTAGGGCCGCCGCTCCCGCTTCTGTGCCGCGAAGACAAGGAAGTGATACATCACATTGGGACGTTGCCCGGTCTCGTAGATGAGCATCCCCGCGATACACCCTTGAAAAGGGGGTGTCAGATATGGCTCCCACGCCGGATCAGGGCGCGGCGCCTCCGCAATGGCCTCGAGCCTGATGGTGGTGGGCTCCACCATGAAATCCACCTCGGTCGGATGGACCGTCCGGCTCGGAGGAACTACTAATGTCAATGATCGGGGCACTCCGGGGTGGCTGGCGAAAGCGGAAAGGTCCGGCGAGGACGGGGGATCTGGATACGGGATCCGGTAATCCCATTCGGCTTCCTCCTCCGGCTGCTGCTGCGGCTGATGGCCCGGCTCCATCGAGATTGAGATGGGCACGCGTGGGAAGGGCGGCGATGGCACGACAATCTCCTTAACCAGTGTCGCCACACTCCCAGGCACCGGGCCGAGATTCCGCGTGCGCACGGGCTGAACCACCTCCTCGCCGCCACCGATTTGGCTACCTTGCGCTCCTGGCGATGGGTGGCGTCTCTTTCTCTTTGGCGTCTTCTTGGGGGCCTTTGGCGGCGCAGGTCTGGGATACGATGAGGGAGGTCGCAGCGGCTTTTCCTCAGGGAAATCCTCTAACCTCTCCTCGTGCTGCGCAATGAAATCCGGGATGGCGGCCGCGTTGTACGTTCTCCGTGGGGCAGCCGCCATCCGCAATCGTGGCTGGACCTCCTCTTCCTCGCTCGCGATCACTTGCGCAATAGATAGGAGCTCAAGATGTATGAGTTCCAACAATCCCGGATCGGTCGTCTGTAGCTGGGCAAATGGGTACAACGCCACTGTCCCCTTCTTCTGTGCTGGCTTGGGCCGCGTGATGACGTAATAAACGACAAAGTGCTCCCCGATGCAGTGATCTTCGTGATCCACGAAGAACCGGAACATCCCCAACACCACCGACATGTATAGCGCGCGGTGCAATTCCCACGCGTCTTCGTCTACGAAGGGCAGCGGCTCCACGTCAGTCAGCTCCATCAGATACTTCGAGAACTCGCGCATAGGATAAGGGCCCTCCATGAGTTGATAGGGGAGAGTGGTGTAAGAGAAGAAGGGAGGCATTTAGTAAGGGGCAGGGGGAATAGTTTGGATGTTGAGAGGGGCAGCGGGAGGAAGAACCGCGGGGAGCTGTGGCACCAACGCAATTGGTCCGTTATCCGCCCTGCGTAACAGTGCTTCGTGGGCTGTGAATCGATGTCCTCCCCGTCCTTGCACTCTGGCCACTGATCTAGCCGCCTGCACCGCGTATTCGCGCACAAAGCTTCGCGCCGGCTCCCGACTCAGCTGCGGCAGGATCGTCAAGTCTCCGATAAAGGTGGCGACGCTATGCACGAAGTTAGGTGCCACCTGGAGCGCGCGGAACTCGATGAACACTCGAGTCGTCTCCCGCCCAGGCAACGGCGTCACGTCCACGTACACCCCCGCATACATCATCCGATCACAAAGTAACGAGTACGCCGCCAGATCAGCAACCCCAGGCGCTGACACGTTCACCTGCTGAATGTCGTATCGCAACTGCCTTTCCTCATTGAACTGATGCCACAACAAACGATCTGCAAGCGGCGTCTGGAAATGCTCGAGGGGCTCATGCTCCGGCTGGCGATGGTTCATCCTGCTCCCTGAAAATCTCAGCACCAAGGGACGAGGCAGATCGGGAAGAGGAAGAAGACGAAGAAGGAGAGGAGGAGAGAGAGGACGAAGGCTCGGATGGGGCAAGAGCCGATTCGCGGCCCGAAGATGGCCGAAACAGCCGAAGAGCGGCCGCGTGTCGCGTAAGCGACCTGGCCTGTGTGCTATGCCGGGGGACTAGCTTCACGGAGTGCTGTCCTCGTGCGCCAACTTCCGTTACCTCGTAAATGCCNCTCCGATAAAGGTGGCGACGCTATGCACGAAGTTAGGTGCCACCTGGAGCGCGCGGAACTCGATGAACACTCGAGTCGTCTCCCGCCCAGGCAACGGCGTCACGTCCACGTACACCCCCGCATACATCATCCGATCACAAAGTAACGAGTACGCCGCCAGATCAGCAACCCCAGGCGCTGACACGTTCACCTGCTGAATGTCGTATCGCAACTGCCTTTCCTCATTGAACTGATGCCACAACAAACGATCTGCAAGCGGCGTCTGGAAATGCTCGAGGGGCTCATGCTCCGGCTGGCGATGGTTCATCCTGCTCCCTGAAAATCTCAGCACCAAGGGACGAGGCAGATCGGGAAGAGGAAGAAGACGAAGAAGGAGAGGAGGAGAGAGAGGACGAAGGCTCGGATGGGGCAAGAGCCGATTCGCGGCCCGAAGATGGCCGAAACAGCCGAAGAGCGGCCGCGTGTCGCGTAAGCGACCTGGCCTGTGTGCTATGCCGGGGGACTAGCTTCACGGAGTGCTGTCCTCGTGCGCCAACTTCCGTTACCTCGTAAATGCCGGTATAGCGTGGGTGGATCTTGGAGGAGCGCGCAGATTTCCGTACCTGCACCAAGTCCCCGATTTTATAACGGGGCATTGGTCCCGCTGTTGCATGTCGGTTTTCATAGTCCCGGATCTGCCGTTGATGCGTCAGATCTACGACCCTTTGTCGTCTTCGGGCTAACGCGGGATAGGTCCGGGCCATCAGATCCAGGTAATGCTGGGCCTTGTCCTTGTGTTGGGCCCGGGTCACTCTAACTTTCGTACCCACTAGAGGTGACAACTGCACTCTGGGGACGCTATTGGTTCTCAGTTGGAACGGGGACACCCCGGTGCTCCCGTGGGGAGTAGCCCGATAGACGGCCAAAATGTGGTCGACTATGACAGGCCAAGGCCTGGTATCACCTGCCGTGATATTCCGTCTAAGTGCAGTCTTGATCATTCGGTTGGCATTCTCTACGAGCCCGTTGGCTTGAGGCAGTGACCTGGGGAGTATGAAATTCTAACGTCTGCCCTTACGAGATGTCGCTCTACTTCCCCCTGGAACTCGGATCCATTGTCCATATGTATCTCTTCTATGTCCAGGTGCATGCACAAAAAGCGATTAATATACCAGGCCACTTCCTGCGAGTTCCGACTGGTCATTGGATATGCTTCGATCCATTTCGAGAAATGATCTACGGCTACCAGAAGAACATTGAGTTCTCCTTGATCAACAGGGCCTCTCAGCACGTTGATGTCCGTCGTATCGATACTGACCCGTTGGAAGGGGCGCTCTACCCGAGTAGGCACTATTGTACGGGGCATTGGTATCGGCGCCTTATCGGCCGCGCAGGCCGGGCAAGTCTGGACGATGTATTTTACATCTTCCCGGATTCCCGACCAGTACCATCCGTTTTTCTCTATTGCTTTTTCTGTGTATTTGACTGCAAAGTGGACCGCATCCTCCTCATGGGCGGCTCGTGTCCAATCGAACCTGGCCTGTGGGTGTGGAACCGTCAGCCAACTAAATCCGTCGACGTCATCGTCTTTTCGTTTTTGTAGGACGGATCCCTGCCAGCGATTAGCGTGCGCCATTTCCGTGACACGCCGCTGTTCAGCCTTGGTAAGTTCTGTCAGCGGGTCGCCTGTCAGTCTCCGTAATAGCAGAAGATCCGTCAAGACTTCCGCTCGGCGGACGCTTGGCAAAAATCCGTCTGCCGTTCTGGCTTCTAGATACTGTTTTTCCGTAGGTACGTGGTCCGTTCGACAGTTGGGACAGTTCCAAATTTTTTCATTCCGATACCGGGCACAACTCCCATGGGACCGGACTATGTGACATTGACTACATTGTACCCAGGGAAGAAAGCTAGGCCTCTCGAGAGGAGGATCTCCCCCTACCGGTATCATGGGCAAGGTGCAGAAGAAACAGATTTGGGAAGGCGTGCTCGGAGGGGAGTCAGGGTCAGGAGAGGGGGTTAAAGAATAGGGAAGGGGAGAAGGGGTGGCGGCCTCGTCATGGACGATCGCCATCTCCGATTGCTGCAGTACCCTTGCGGAGGACGTTCACCTCCCCGTAGCCGGGTTCCGCCGAAGGCGAAGTCGGCTTCCACGGGATGAGCTTTTCGTTCGCGGGACTCTTGTTCGGCGGCTGGAGGCGCGTCAAACCATCGACGTTCCCGTGTTGCCTGGTGGTGCGGTGGCGGATGTCGAAGTCGTAGTCCTGCAATCTCACTGCCCACCTTCCGAAGGTACCCGTGTAGTCCGTGTTGTTCCGCAACGATAGCAATGGCTGATGATCCGTCACGAGCACGAACTTCAAGCTGTACAGATACGGTCGAAAGTGCTGAACCCCCCACACCACCGCCAAGCACTCCCCTTTGCATGCCTCGTAGTTCGACTGCGCCTGCCTTAGCGTTTTCGACGCATACTCAATGATGTGCTCCCTYCCATCCGTTCCTTGCTGAGTCAGCACCGCCGATATCGCCTGCGTCTGCCAGTCGGTATGCAGCGCAAACTGTCTTGTCGGATCGGAACGCGCCAACACGGGTGCCGATGTCAAAGCCTCCTTGAGTGCCCGAAAAGCCGCCTCTCATTCCTGCGTCCAGATCAGCTGCTCCTCCTTCTTCAGCAGGTTCGTCAGCGGCTTGGCGAGGCAGGCAAAGCTCCGAATGAAGCGTCGATAATAAGAGGCCAGCCCTAGGAAGGCTCGAACCTGAGTGAGCGTGACCAGGGCCGGGGCTTCTCGAACCGCTGCTACCTTCCTGGGATCCGGTTTCAGTCCCTCGACCGTGACGATGTAGCCCATAAAAAAAAAAAATTCGGACAGAAAGAACTCGCTTTTCTCCAGAGCCACCTTGAACCCCACATCTTTCAGTGCGTGCAAAACCCACTCAATGTGCTCCACGTGGTACTCATGCGTTTTCGAAAAGACCAAAATATCATCCATATACACAATCACGCAAAAATTGATCAGGGGCTGAGTTAGTCGGGTTTTGTTAACGAACTCGGCGAAGGCCATATTCATGGCCCGCTGGAACATTGCGGGGGCGTTACAAATTCCCATGGGACACCGGACCCATTGCCACGTGCCCTCGAATAGGACAAAAGCGTTTTTGGGCCGATCTTCCAGTCGGGCTGCGACGTGGTGAAAACCGTGTCGGATATCGAACTTTGAAAAGACCCGAGTGGACCCGATAGCATCCAGCAGATCGTCAATCCGCGGCAACGGATAGACATCTTTGGTAGTGATAGCGTTTAATTTGCGGTAGTCAATACAGACTCGGACTGAACCGTTTCGTTTTGGCACGAGGACCACGGGAAATGACCATGGTCCCAGCGATGGTTCAACCCACCCCAACCGCTCGAACTCCCGTACCCTTTCCAAGGCCAGCTGTCTTTCTTTTAGGGAGTAGCGGTACGGTCGACAATGTATCGGGGTGCAATCACCGCTATCAATCGCGTGTTGGATGAAGTGGGTAAGTCCTATATCGTGGTCCTGGATGCTGACGACCAGAGGGTAGGCCCGTATAACTGCCAAAAGAAGGCGTTTGTAGTCGTCAGGCACATGGGCCGGCAGCCGGACGTCCACGTTTCCCTCAGGGAGGGAGATCGTCGACGTAACCATGGGGACTGCCGCGTTGGCTTCGGGTGAGGCACCGAACAGCGAATTGTCAGTTTTTGCCGAAAGCACGGTCGCGATGAGTTGACTGTCTGCTGGGCTTATCGGTTCGTTTTCCATGTCACTATCGTTCTCGAGCTCGGTTTCAGCCGAGGGTTCTACTGAAAAGGCCTGTAACAGCTCCTTCGGCTTCCATTGATATTCCCTCGTTCGAGGTTGAAACGACACCCCTTCCTTCAAGAGCAAGGCGGCTTTTGCGTTCGTAAGTAGCGGCCTGGGAAGCCGAAAGGTCAAATAGCACAACCCCCTAAACTCCGTTAACGTTTCGGGTAGGGGGTTCGTCCTAAGATATAAGGACGCAGGGGGTTCCGAAAGGTCAATTATTCGCGACACCCTCAGCAGGGGTTCTCTGCACCATGGAGGAAAACGCGTGCGACCAATCGGACTCGCTCCAAACTATTTCCAGGGGTTCTCGTCGCCAGGAATGCGCCACCGATCCTGAACCCGGATCGGATATCGCTCGGGTACATCAGTCCCGTCAGTTTCCGACGAAGTTTCATTTTCGCCTGGTGACAGGCGTCGGATCATGTTGATTTGATGGGCTTTCGTGGTGATTCGAGACGCCGGCTGGGTGCGCATACGCACCGCCAATCTCATCGGTATCGTTTGTGGTTTGGGGTGGGACGATGTGAGCACCACCTTACAGCTGTCAAAGTGCATTCGCGCTCTGACCGCCGCCTGCCATGGAATGCCTAGCAGAACATCGAGGGTTGTGACTCTTCGTTTGTGGGTAGGTCTCGTAGGACCGACTTTTTGCCCTTTCGACTTTCCTAGAATCGGCGCCTGTTTTTGAGGCATCGTTCGATCAACTTTTCGTTAGCTGCTTCGGAAATGGTTAGCAAATAGGGAATAGGGACGGGGATCCGTAGATCCAGCGCCTTCAATGTATCCAACACGTCGATGTGACCATCTTTGTACTTAGGGCCAGGGGCCGTGAGATCTTCGAACCCCGGCTGCCAAGGCCCGAGGTCGCTTTCCTCGCTAATCCTTTGGACGTAACATATCACTCCAATGGTCCTGGGTCCGAACATCGCCGCAGCCATATACTCATCGGGTCCTATCTCGGTGGCCGCAGGGGCCACCATTTCCGTTGTTCTAGTATCCATCACCGTGGCTACCCTCCCTTGTCCTGCAGCGGTTGGAGCAGCCAACGGGATTTGGGAAGGTCTGGTGGGCCCCACGGGCCCACTCTAAGTTCGAGGTTTCGGATAATCTTTTGCAAGGTGGCCCGACAGATTGCAGTTGTAGCACTGTAGAGGCTGGGCGACTCCTGCTACGGCTGGTCGGGTCATAGGGGTACCGGCGGCCATGGCAGTTTGCTGTCGTTGCGCGGCTGCCACCCGTTGCCGCTGCAAGTTTTGAATGAATTCCGTCAGCGGGGCCACTACCGTGACCAGCTGAGCCACGACCTCTTTCCTTGATATTTCGTCCTCGTCCCGGCCTCCTGGAGCTTGACCAGAGCGTCGGGAGGTCAACGAGGAAGACAAAGTTTTCCGATCCGAATTTTTCTTCACCGGTCCTAACCCGAAGTGATCCTCGAACATTCGCGCCGTAGCGGAGTAGCTATGGCGTTGGACACCCGAAGGGTCGTCTTCGTCGGACTCCGAATCCAGACCTACATTGTAATTTTCCTTCCCGTACTTAATGGCATACTGAATGAGCTCGGTCAGGGTATGTTCTATCGGGTTGCATTTCTTGCGGATCTTCTTCCGCAAGCGAGAATCGAACA